GGTTTGGTCCCCCCGCCCCGCTCGCCACAGGCTCCCTGTCGGACTTTCTTCCCGTCCTTTGGGCCACTTCTCTCTCCCTCTTCCTTCTCTCTCCAGGTACTCCCTCAAGAGCGAAGGGGAAAGCGTCGTCGCGCCTAGAGAAACCCTCTCCAGAAACACTTCAGCGCCTGCCTTCCCTCCACCGGCGGCAGCAACAGCGGCGCCAGCGCTGCCCCCCCCTCTCCGCCCACGTGAGCTGAGCGAGGCCGGCCCCACCCGGGCTCGGGGGACCCGAGCAGCCCCAGGCGCTGGAGGGCTCGCCGGAGGGGGCGGGCAACAGGGCGCGGCTCGGCGAGGCGGAGGAAGGCAAGGAGGGAGCCGGGGAGAAGTTGGCGCCGCTGGGCGCGCGCAGGGTGGCTGCTTTGCGCTCGGGGCGCCCTGTCTCCCGCGCGTCGAGATGGAGAGAAAGAGTGTCGTCCGTGTCTCGTGTGTGAAGGGGAGGCTTGGAGAGGGAGGGTGGTGAGCAAGCCGCTTTGGGGGGGGGCGGGGGGGTGAAGGAAGGAAAGGGCTGTGTCGCCCAAGCAGATCACCATTAAAGATCTGGGATCGGGCTGCGGAGAGAGCCAAAGACCAGAGACGCCTGTTGAAAGCCACCAAGGCAGCTGGAACACACTCGGCAACCTGTAGCGAAAGCGAGTGGGTTGCCGTCGCTTGAGAAGGAGCGGAGCCAAATAAAGGAGCACACGAAAACCTTGACAACTCCTAAAATATTTGAGGGACCGCCCCCCCCCCGTTGATAGGTATGGCCATTCAAATCGTGTGTGCGTGCCTCGATTGTACAGGGTGGGGCTTATCGCCCCCCCCCATATTTTATTCAAGTTGTCACCCCTGCCCTGCACAGACTCTATGCAATAGAATAAAAAGATCAGCATCCCCCCCCCCCCCAATACCGAATAGTGTCTCGTTTGCTGAATGTAAACGGATGGTGGGGGAAAGGGCTATGAATGGAAAGTGAAGACGCTATATGTACTTTTCCTTGTTTATCTGTTTTTGTATCACACACAATTTTTTTTGAATAAAAGCTAAATTGGAAAAAAAAATGTCATGATAAGCCTTCCATGATTCTAGATTCAGGTAGGTAGCAGTGTTGGTCTGACGCAGTCAAAATAAATAAAAATTAAATAATTGTCCAGTAGCACCTTAGAGAACAACTAAGTTTGTTTTGGGTATAAGCTTTCCTGTGCAATGCACACTTCTTCAGATACACTGAAACAGTGGCTAGATACAAGTCAAGGCGTTGGATATCCATAATCAGATCTTACATAAACACTGAGGACTGGATAGCTCAGTTGATTAGAGCAGTGGTTCCCAATTAGCTAATTACTGATGACCCTTTATTTTTCAAAAGCCAAGTAACGGACTTCCTACTTTTGAAAAAAATTATAACTCTATGGTAGTTAGCTCTGCAAAGCAATTTTTTGAACAAAATGTGAGGCAGCCCCTAATAAGCGAAGGATTTTAGGTATACTAAAAAACGGACTGTAAAATTTGTGATATTACCATGCAAAAATGACAAAAAAATTAGTTGGGATAAGGCCATGGACCCCTTGAGTGTGTTCTATGGAACCCCAGGAGTCCCCAGACCCTTAATTGGGAACCACTGGATTAGATCATGGTGCTGGTAACACCAAGGTTGCAGGTTCAATCCCCCTATGGGATAGCTGCGTATTCCTGAATTGCAGGGGGTTGGACTAGAGGATCCTCAGAGTCCCTTTCAAGTCCATGATTTGAGTTCAGCACTGCAGATGCCCCAAAATTGGATCAGAACATTCCCTAACGATGCCAATAGCAGTTCTGGGAATGGGATTTTGATCAAGGAAGTGTCTGTGTTTGTGAGTGTGCTGGGGTTAATCAGTGGTAAGTTTAGACTCTGAACTTAAGGGTCTTTGAGGAGGGGCTCTTTAAAAAGAAATGCACATGACTTCTCTTAAATATGTTGAAAGCCACATCTGTTGAGTTGGGGGAATCCTCCTGTTCATTTTGATAAGTGGAACTTTGGACTTCTTCCCCATCTCTGGTGGTACCACTGATAAGGCCCCAGCTACACTAAACTTTCAAAGTAGTATCATACCATTTTAAATGATCATAGCCTCCCTAAAGAATCCTGGGAACAGTAGTTTGTTAAAAGTGCTAGGAGTTGTTAGGAGACCTCTATTCCCCTAACTGCACTACAAATCCCTCTGGGAATCATAGTTCTGTGATGGGAATAAGGGTTACATAACAGCTACACCAGGGACACGGGTGGCGCTGTGGGTTAAACCACAGAGCCTAGGACTTGCCAATCAGAAGGTCGCTGGTCCGAATCCCCACGACAGGGTGAGCTCCTGTTGCTCGGACCCAGCTCCTGCCAACCTAGTAGTTCGAAAGCACGAAGTGCAAGTAGATAAATAGGTACCACTCCGGCGGGAAGGTAAACGGCGTTTCCATGCACTGCTCTGGTTCACCAGAAGCGGCTTAGTCATGCTGGCCACATGACCCGGAAGCTGTACGCCGGCTCCCTTAGCCAGTAATGCGAGATGCACCCCAGAGTCGTCCACGACTGGACCTAATTGTCCGGGGTCCCTTTACCTTTACCTTTACCAGCTCTTAGCATCCTTAACAAACTACACTTCACAGGATCCCTGGAGGTTTTTAAACAGAGGTTTAAACAGATAGCCATCTGCCATGGATGCTTTAGCCGAGATTCCTGAATTGGATTGGATGACCCTAAGGGTAACTTCTAACTGTCCAGTGTTTTGACTCTTTGCGGGAAGCCATGGCTGTTTGAAGTGGTATGATACTGCTTAAAATGTGTGGTGCAGATGGGGCATGAGTTAAACAGTGCCATGGCCCAGTGTTCAGCCTCTGTCCTTGGCTGTTTTCAACTAGAAATATAAATGTTGGCTGAACCATTCACAGCTCTAGTTTGCCTCTAAGCAAATGAAGCCTAGAAGCTTACCAAACTGTGTGGTACAAATTTGGTTGCCAGTGTCATGGAAGCAAAATGGTGCTAACATGGAATTCTTAAGTGAGAACTGTGGTTATAATAGTTAATGCACACAATATGTTTCTCCCTAAAGCAGAGTTGTGAAGGGTAATTCTGTGCTAAATGAATTTCTGCCTGCTCTTCACCTATAACAAGATGCCTGGTTTTTTTTGGGGGGGGGAGGGTGGAGTAATGACAGTCTTAAACCATGTGTACCATGCCAAAGTGTAGATTTGCCATCTTGTTCTTGGCAGGGTTCCTGAGCCCATTAAACTCCAGAACTTCAACTTTCTCTAGCATGGACATAAAAGCAATAGGATAATCACCACCTGCTGAATTTCTTCATCTCATTTGTGTATGTGTCTTTTAGGTAGGGATAACAACTCCTTCTCTGGCAGGGCTCCTGTGCCTCCTGCAGAAAAGAGCAGAAATCCAACATTTTCTGAGCATGGAAAAGATGGAGCAATAGATGATTCATCTATGGCCTTTTGTTTGGGGGGAGGAAGAGAGAAAGGACTATTGTGAAGGTATTAGGCATGGGACCCGTGGAAAAAAAAGAGGAATTGGCAACCACTCCTTGTAAACAAATATACACACAATGGCATGGCAGAAAGAAAGTCAGCAGGTGGTTCCATTCCCCCACCCCCACCCCAGCCCTCTTCAATTTCTGTGCTGGGAAATGTTTTACTTGATGAATTTCAGACCATGGTAAAGGCACAGCACACCTGCAGAAGTACTTGCAGGGCAACAGCAAAACTTTGCGAGGCTTGTCCTTCTATTGGGCAGAGTGAGGTGGCATCTCACTTGAGCGTGTCATAAAAGGGCAGCAAATTGTTAATTATTTGGGATAGAAACACTACCAGGGTGTTTGTGAGATTTTCTGTCTGGGGTGCTAAAATAATCAGGCTGAGCTTGGGTAGTATGCACTGTGATTTGGAGGGTGGGGCAAGGGACACATATTTCCATATTTCACTGGGATGGCAAAGAGGACAGAGAGATCCCTCTGCTGGATTGACATTGCGAATCATTTGCCACAGCTGTTTATTATGTACTCTTTTGCATTATTATCATGAAATGTATTTATGTTACCGCTCTTTTTTCATTTTATATTGTATGTTATCTATTTACATTATGTTATAATAATAATATAAAAATTTATTATTTATACCCCGCCCATCTGGCTGGGTTGCCCCAGCCACTCTGGGCGGCTTCCAACCAAATATTAAAAACAATACAGCGTCAGACATTAAAAACTTCCCTAAACAGGGCCAACTTCAGTTGCCTTTTAAAAGTAAAATAGTTGTTTATTGCCTTGACATCTGCTGGGAGGGCGTTCCACAGGGCAGGTGCCACTACCGAGAAGGCCCTCTGCCTGGTTCCCTGTAACCTCACTTCTCGCAGCGAGGGAACCGCCAGAAGGCCCTCGGAGCTGGACCTCAGTGTCCGGGCTGGATGATGGGGGTGGAGACACTCCTTCAGGTATACAGGACCGAATTGTGCTACCAATGTAGCACACCTTCCTGCGCCCTTTTGACAAAGAACAGCATACAAAGAACTTCAAAAAAATCAATGCAAGCTACACCGCCTGGGGTTCCCTCAACCACACAGCTATTACAGGTGCAGGAGCAGTGTCCGATTTCCCAATCATCTTGCCCCTCTGTGTACTCCATCTGCCTCTCAAAATATTGAGACCTGGCCGGGCGGGGAGACGAAGGATTTTACAGATTCATTAGCAGAATGAATGCCATGTGCCCCTGCTGCCCACGCGTCTGGCGTTGAAACTGATCTATGCCAAAAGGGAAACCTGGGGGGGAAAGCTCGCGAAGGGTTAAACGCTGGAAAAGAGCCAGTCCGCCCTGCAGCTCGTGGAAGGCAGAAGCAGCAATCTGTTTTAAAAGCCCTGTCGATTCCCCGGGGCTTTCAAGGGAAAGCTAATGGCTGGGAGGGGAACGGAACGGAAGGCACGCACCAAGCGCAGGGAAGAGACAACACGCGCCCGCCCTTCCGCCCCTTTAACTGGGCGTTGGCCGCCGCGGCGGAGCGAAGCTCTTCCGGGAGAGCAGCCGGCAATCTCAGCGCGCAGCATAAAAGCAGCGGCTGCGGCAGCAGCTGCAGACTTCGGAACGGGCGCGCGCGCGGCAGGGTGGGTAGAAGTTGCATTGTACGACGGGGAGGGAGCGAGTCAGAGGCAGGGAAGGCGACAAAAAGCAAACGCCAGGCTCCGGGAGCAACCCCAAAGGAACCCATTCGGCTCATGATGGTCTCTAGGGATCCAGCAGCAGACTGGGGGGGGGGTAGCGTGTTAGTCCAGGGCGCCGTCGTGCCTCGACGGCTAGGGCGGAGAATTATTACCAAAGGAGGGAGCAAAGCAGGCTGCATGGGCGTAGCCAGGGTTTGTTAGAGGGGGCAGGAGACCCGCCTGCTTTCATCCTCTGTCTGGCTCTGTGATTGGGAATGAAAGGTTGCAACAATAGTTGCTCAGAATTACTTTCTTTTGACCCCCAAGTGCTCAGAAAAAAGCCTGTCAAAATCTTTCTGCAATTTCTTTTTTTCTTTACTTGAATCAGTGGGGGGCGTGACAGCTGCCCCTTACTCCCCCCCATTTTTCCCATGGCTTTGGGAGTGCCAGCTTGGCCCCCATATCTGTGGGTGCCTGGGGCTGTGGGTGTCATGGCCCTGGCACTGAAATTTGTGGCTGCTTGGCCCCTTCATGGGAAATTTTGTGGGAGTTGGCACCTAGTAAGAGATGGGAATGAAGGGGGGACTTCTTGGAGTCAGGGGGGTGGCATTCGGTAGCTCTCTACAACAGCCGAGGTGGACAGTGAGACAGTTGAAACTAGCTTCTTCTGATCCACACCCCTTTTAAAAGCAAAATATTTCAGTGCAACTAGTTGGTAAAAGTTGGAAAGTTTGTGTGTACCTGCAAGGGTAAAATAAAATTTACTTCCCCTCCCTTTCAAACAAATGATGGGAGGTTAGAACTAATACAGGGTAATGCTGGGCTTTTCTCATTTGTGTATGAAATTGGTGTAAAAAGAGATGGATGTTACATTGAGGAAAAATAAGTAGAACTATTTCAAACAGAGCACCGTAAGTTCAGTTAAAGTGGGTTCCATAAAACAAAACACCTGAAGTGTTAAAATGCCCAAGTAAATTTGAAGCCTTAAGCAAATGCAGGTGGCGCTGTGGGTTAAACCACAGAGCCTAGGGCTTTGCCGATCAGAAGGTCGGCGGTTCAGATCCCCGCGACAGGGTGAGCTCCTGTTGCTCAGTCCCTGCTCCTGCCCACCTAGCAGTTCGAAAGCACGCCAAAGTGCAAGTAGATAAATAGGTACCGCTCCGGCGGGAAGGTAAACGGCTTTTCCGTGCGTTGCTCTGGTTCGCCAGAAGCGGCTTAGTCATGCTGGCTACATGACCCGGAAGCTGTACGCCAGCTCCCTCGGCCAATAAAGCAAGATGAGCGCCACAACCCCAGAGTCGGCCACGACTGGGCCTAATGGTCAGGGGTCCCTTTACCTTTAAGCAATACAGCGTTTGGGAGTAAAGCAGAGAAGGTCCAGTCTTCCACAGTTTTATAGATGTGCATTTTTAGGTTAGAGATGAGGAATATCTTCAAAATAGTTGTCTGTTGGGATGGAAATATTTACCACAAAATAACACAACATGGCTTTCCTGTTTTCAAAACATTTTTAATTTTAATTTGTTCCTGTTCAACATTTAAAAAAATGCCCTAAAATGTGTTTTTAATTTTAAAGGGGAAATCCCCCTTTTAAACGACAAAATGTTTATACATGGCTTATATGAACATCTGTAGAACCATGTTCACTGATGCAGCAAACCCATTTGTGGTTCCATTGTGTTTGCTGCTTTTGTGTGGATTTCAAACCCTTCCCCCTTTGTATCTGAACATGCTGAAAATGTTTCTCCCACTTTTAAACCTTCTAACAAACACTCGTCAAACTTCTTTAAGTGTTTCATGTAGGAGTCTCGCTGATGCCTTTTCAAAGTAGCCTTGCAATTTTTTCTCTTCATAAATGAATTTGGTCCTTTTAGATTACATGAGATCAATATTCTTCAGCTTCCTGTTATTTTATGTTTATGGAGAAAAACAAACGGGGGGGGGGCTATGAATCGGTTGTGGAGCTTTCATTGTTAGGAATGCTCTTAATTTCAAGTAATTGTTTCCAGCCTTCTGAAACAGCAGGTACTCTTTCAGCAATTAATGGCAATATGGTTTCACTTCTTTTCACACCTTGTAAGAGTTCCTCATCAGTCGCCTGATTTAGAACTTGTGTTTGATCATTATCAATAGGCTGCATATATTGCAGATTAAAATCTATGGCTTGTAAAGATAGAACTTCTGTACAGTGGTACCTCGGGTTAAGTACTTAATTCGTTCCGGAGGTCCATTCTTAACCTGAAACTGTTCTTAACCTGAAGCACCACTTTAGCTAATGGGGCCTCCTGCTGCCGCTGCGCCGCCGGAGCACAATTTCTGTTCTTATCCTGAAGCAAAGTTCTTAACCTGAAGCACTATTCCTGGGTTAGCAGAGTCTGTAACCTGAAGCGTATGTAACCTGAGGGACCACTGTACTGTAAAGCTTAGAATAAAAAATTATCTTGTTAGGGGGGCGGGACTTCTCTATCCACCCTTCTCCATGCCATACATAATTTTAAAAAACTTCAACATTGCTTCCTCTTACTCACCTTTTCCGCAAAATTAAAAAGTCCCAAATTCTGCAACCATTCTTCAATCCCTTTGATCATTTTGATTGCACTTTTCTGCATAAATTTAATCATGTCTTTAGGCAGTGAGTTGTTAGGCCACTGCAGAAGTCCTTCTCAAAAAGCTGAATTGTATTCTTGTAATGCCTGGTAGGATGTTCTGGAAGAGAGCAATGAGGAACGTTGACATATCTAGTCCTCGGAAGTTTTCTGCTATTCCTTTTATTATAAGCTTCAAACAGCAAGGACTACAGTCTGCCTCTTCGGGATGGAGTAACCAAACAATTAAGCCCCTGTGTTGCAAACAATTATCAGTAATATCCAAGGCAACACGATGACCAAGTGCAACAATGCGATGTCAATATAAACTCTTTATATAATCTATACAGAACTTTGAACAGTATGAAATATATGAAATATGCACTCTCTGCAAAACCAAATAAACAGAAATCTTATAAATCTCTGCAAGTCACAAAATATGCACTCTTGATGGATTCTCTTGAAAACAGAGAACCAAATCAACATAAATCTTGTAAGTCTCTGAAAGTCTTTGTAGACTATGCAAGTCTCTGAAAGAAGCAGTGGGTCAGAGGCTTCTGGAACAGCGTGCTCAGTGTCAGGTCGGAGTTTGAGCTCAGAGTTGCTCGAGTAGACTCGGCACCTAGAGAGGCTAAGCAGGAGCAACAGGAAGCATAAGTTGCCCCTACTCAGGTGGATTTCCTGGGAGCAGAGGCTCAGCAGCGCAAAAAGGGTTTTCCTCACTCTAGAACTGGACTTAAAGACACCTTAAAAAGAAGGAATTTAGGGGAGAAACTCAGCACAAAGGAGCGAGACCGCCCTCCGGTGCCTTCGCCAGTGTGGTGTAGTGTGAACCAGGTTCGCGTCTCTGCTCCTACACATGCAGCTGCTGGGTGACCTTGGGCCAGTCACACTTCTTTGAAGTCTCTCAGCCCCACTCACCTCACAGAGTGTTTGTTGCGGGGGAGGAAGGGAAAGGAGAATGTTAGCCGCTTTGAGACTCCTTCGGGTAGTGATAAAGCGGGATATCAAATCCAAACTCTTCTTTTTTTCTTCTTCTTCGCCTCCAAACCCCATGAGCTAGCACTGGACTCTCCAGTAAGATATTGACACAAACTCAAGGAGCGTTCCCCCTCCCCCACAAAAAAGTACAGTGATAAGCCCCAACAATACATTGGAAACAAAAAGGGGGGGACTAACAAACAGAGAAAATTAAGAAGTTGCAAATGGAATGCTAAAAGGGGGTCATCCCTCACAACAGAAATTAACGCTGCAGAAGAGGCATTGCGGTAGAGGTTTTGAGGGGCTTCTCTGCGCTCCCTAAACAACCCAACCCAAGAAGTGTTACTGGAGTTTGGAGCAGGGGAGTAGTTTAGACCAGCTAAACAGACGACAGAAATAAGGAGAGCTCTTTACCAGCGGTTTGCAGGGATCTGGAGAGGTGACGAGAAGGCTGGAGAAGACAGAGTGGAGTGGAGCTGAGGGTGGAAAGGGTGGTGAGTCAGCAGACTGAATGGTGTGGGCGGCGGCCATTACTGAAAGACTATACAGGGAAAGACACCAAAAGCCGCTTTAGCAGCAGAGAAAGAAAGATTCTTATCTGGTGAAAACAAGCCAGAAATCTTTGTTTTATGATGTCCAATGCCGCAAGTGGTTCGAAACATAGTGAATCGTGATCCCGGATATACCCACTGTTTTGTGAAATTCTTCTTCAGCACAGCAGAAGGATACAGAAATGCTTCATAAACCCATCTATATTGTGAATGGAATTGTATAACACAATGCTATGGAGGAGTGGTCATGAAGTTATGTAACCACTGCTCTTTGGGATGGAGACAGAAAATCCCGAGTGGTTTCAGTAAGGTGTGGTTTTTTTTTTTTTGTTTAACTTGAGTGATTTGCTTCATGCTTAAGTTAATGGCTTCACTGGCCGTCTTAAACATGTCTGAGATGTGGTTCTGTGCTCCGTCAACCTGAGCACCCAGCAGCATGATGGTACGTTTCCGTTCAGAAATCAGATCTTGGCAAAGCTTGTCAAACCGTGCTACCATCTCTTTGTCCAAAGAATTTCAACAATCGCTTCATCTACATTTGGTTGCTTTGCTGCTTTTGTTGCCACTGTGAGGCCCTCAACATCCTTCGATAGCCTGGACTTTGTGGTAGTATTTTTCGATTCAAAGTACAATTGATAGTTATTTTCTTGATGGCTTTGAGTTCTTTGCTGTATGCTCAATCCAATACTGATAAAGTATTGGATCAGAGGTGTTTTTAAGATTTTTATTGTGGTGGTGAACAGAGCCTCCATCTTTAGTCGATGACCCTCCCAAGGAATTTGTGAATAAATGAGATGATGATCAATGTGTATTTTCATAGAAATACTTCACTGTGAGGTAGTTTATTTTTAATCAATAAAATATTTCAGACCTTTAAAGTTGAGAGTCCTGATTAATTACCCTACCCTTTTTTTTTTTTTTTTTTGCTATTGACAGGCATTACTTGAGATACATATGTCGTGCTTCCTGACTTACTTTTGGATATTGAGGCAGTTTGGCAAAAGAAGTTAATGAACTCAAAATATATGGTAGTTCAGATGTTAACATGGATAAGAGCTGTTTTGGCTGGCACAAAATGCAATAGCTTGTTTTTGTTAAAAAGATTTAGGAAACCGCTTGTGTAGGAAGACCTAGCAGAAACAACAATCTGCTGTCACTCTGTGGACACGTGGCATTGCAGATTTTTTTAAAAATTAAAAACCCCATACATACGTAATTTTATTTGTATGCCACCTTTACACAGTTCAGTCCATGCACAAGGCAGCTTACAACATTAAACAATACATAACCACAATATAACAAAAGTAGCCATCAACAATAAACAAAATGCTAAAAAAGAAAGCCATAACCAACCAAATTGAGCAATTTCCACATAAAACACGACGAGATCCAAAATAGATTCAAAAAACTTAACAGCAACAACCCCACCCAAAAGTCCCTAAGCAACACCCCAGCCCTCAAAGAATCCCGCTTCTTCCATTTTTAGGCCATTTATCCCTGCCCTGCAGTTTTCCTCTTTCTACAATGGTTCCACCCAGCTGTCACCGTTTGCACGTGCACAGTCCTCCCACAATTTCAAAAAGTGGAGAAGGGTGGAAACACACACACACACACACACCCTTTCTTTTCTCCTGCTTACACATGCCTGCTGCCCAGCTCTTGCACCTTTCCTTCCTCTGAGGGAGGGCTGTGTCAGAAGGTCACGGGGCACCTTCTGTCCTTAGGTTGGGACCCAGGTAGTTGTCACGTGGGAAGTGGTCTATTTGGGCAAATGGAGCACTGCCTCACCAACTTCCATCCTCCATGTTGCCCTCCTCCTTGCAAGCAGCTCAGGAGATGGCACTGTCTCGCCCTTGGGCAACTCAATAGGGAGGAGAAGGAGGATGGAGTTGAAACATTAGTTGGCTCTGTCATTGACTATTGCTGCGCCTACGGACGGTTTCCCTACCTTCTGTCTTACCAGTTCCAGTTGGCAGCAGTCACACCTGGGTGTGGATGATCTATAAACAAATACCCCGGCTTTTTTAAGGCTTAAAAGCAATCATGGGCCTGACAGTGGGAGGAGAGGATGAATAATTTCCTCCTTCCCATGTATAAATCGTCCCTTGAAACTCTTATTAACATGGAGTGGAGGGAGAAGTCAGCTACAGTAGAGATACCTGTCTCTTCCCTGCACTGTGGCATTAGGGCCAAGACTGTGAGAGTCTTCTTGAGGGTGGGCTCTTTGAAGCTCTCCAGTAGAGTCGTCTAGAAGAACATCAGAGTTTTCTTGCTTTTCAGTAGTCAGCCTTTTCCCAGAGATCCCAGTTAAGATAACACCTTTCCCACTCAGTTCAGTTTAGAGCATAAAGTGTTCATTGTCTCGTGGCACAAGAGAAGCATAAACACACTAGCTACATAAACTACATAGCTACATGAACTTTTAAGAGGTGCTGGTACGTCATGAACTAATATACTATAATACAGTTCTCCTAGTCTTCGACACAAAATAGAAATATAGAGAGATCCACAGACAGAGGAACATCATGCATGTCCCTGCCCCAGTTTTTATTTCTATTTTTTAGAAGAAAGGTAGAATATAAACATATTGATTAAGTAATGGTATAAGTTGAGTGCTTGGTCAGAAGGAGTTTGTGTGCAAAAGCTGTGCTACACATTTTCAATGTAATTCAATACTGAGAAGAGGGATAGGAGAGAAATTGAGTTTGGTTTGCGGTTAATGTGACCCCCCCACCACCTGTTTTTGCACATTCCTAACCCCATGTGCAAACCAGAACATATCATTTGAAATTCTAACTTGAGGTGCTGTTCTCCAGCCCAAAAGTGGGGTGGGTGGGTGAAAATTCATTATATTAGGAAACGTTGTCATTAACAATGCATTATATATGGGAGAATTGCTTGCAAACTAGTAGAGAAACCCATGAAAATGCATCTATGGGAAACTTCCACAAGAGGGTGCCCGTGCATTTTGCAAGAAAGCTGCAGAACCAACATATTCTAACCTGGTAGCAACTCTTCTCTTAATGCTGCTAAAACCACTCTTGTCATTCTACTGGGGTATAAACTGTACTATGGACAGTGTTTTTGGAAAACACTGTCATTTATAGATCTCCCCCCCCCCCCCCGTTGAGATGCCATTTCACGTAAACATGGCAGCTGTGAAGATTAATAATATTTTCTTTGCAATAATGTTTATATCCTGCCTGTGCACAAGTGCAGATATGCTTGCTGGTTTAACCCAAATGCCCCTGTTGTCAGGCCATCCCCTCGAAAAAAGTGATGGAAATAAAATATGCATATAAACATGCCATTTCTATGCTCTCTTCTTGACAAGGTCAGTCGTTTCAGTTCTGAGGCATGAGACGTGTATTGACAAGATCATTAGATACGATGTGTAGGACAATTACTGCTGATATATCTGTAACTGATGACAACATTAACAAGATCTGCAATGGTAGGATAAATTGTCAGATATTATAAATCTGCATCATTGTGAAGACGTTTATCCATTTAGTAAATGTTTCAGAGTGAATGAATGCATCATTTAATATTGTCAGCCTAGCAATTGCTACACATTTTATACCATGAAATAAGTAATGAATTATTAACTAGGCATTTTTTTTAATAAACTCCCCCCATCCCCGTCTTGTTCCCAAGTATTGTTAACACAATGAGCTTGTGTTGCAATTAATTGCATTTCTCTTATCTTTGTCAAGAAAGCCTATGAACTGCATGCTTCCAGTTTTCCTGTCCTGTTACTGCAATTGCAGTTTAGCTTCTAAATAAGGTGGTGTGTGTACACATGTGTGTTTCTTATACATACAGAAAGATAATAACCAGCTAGTTCTAAAAACCTATCAGGTGCACAGAAAAACAGATCTGGGTGCTACCTAAGGTTGTAATTTACACTGCAAATTTTACATTGCACACAGGGGATATATAGTCGGAATCATATTCTGTATTGGAATTACTTGTATTTCTGATGAATCCACTGTTTTTGTATTTTTGCAGGAAATGGTGAGTGACAAGCGAAACACTTTTGTGTGGCTGGGAAGCAAATCACTGGAAGGGGTTGGTGAGGCCTTGGGTCTGATTGTTAGGTCCCCCTTTGCTTGCCAAATGCACTGCACCAAGTTCGAAAGTCACTTTTTGCAACCCATTGTATCAGCACAGTGCCAGCCCAAGGCACTTTGCTGCCTGAGGCCAAGGACAAGATGGCGTCCCCTCCCAATAAGTTAACTAGCCTGACAGATGAACCTTATTTCCACACTGGCAACTGGATGGCATCCACTATTGCATTTGAGGGCTAGCTTAGGGAGTGTTGCGCAGTCTATGTATGGTGCATAAAGCTCTGTCTTCCAGCATTTCATCACTGCCACCAATCAACTGCCTGAGGCAGCCACTTCATTGCCGAATGGCCCCGCATTCATAATCGGATCATATTTACATTTTATTCCAGTTTATCTGCTCTCATTCCCATCCTTTCAGTCAAACTTGTTGCGGGAGCTGCTTGTTGAAAACATTATTTTGTTTACCCAGTGGTATTATAGAAGGGGATTTAAGGCGGTGGTCAGCAAAATGCATAAGGAGAAATGGAAAGCCTCTACAAAACCAAGCAAGGTTATTCTCATTCTCAGTCTCTCTCTGGCAATACACTCATCATCCCATCCTTAACTATATCATGTCAAGATTTGTTACTGTTAGGATTGTTGAGAAACTAAGCCGAGGAGGTGACAGAAGGAGAAATAAAGTATGAATGAATCTGTCCTCCTGAGTTCAGCTGTCATCTTTCAATACTTTTGGATACTTGTAATTGTCTTTAGTGGGACTACTTCAAAGGAGCTGGCACATGGATTGCAGGGTCAATGCAGTTTTATTGAAACTGTCATGCCTAAAGTGAACAAAATTGGATAGTGGTTCTTTATTAAAGTTGTTCTGATCTAAAATTATAATTGCTACCTAAGTCATGCAGGTGTTGCGACAAAAAAATCAATGCCTTTATAATGGCATGATTAAAAATCCTTTCCTTTCCTATTTGTCCAGCTTTCACTCTCTCCAAGCCATCTCGCCAGTTTGTCATTGCTAGGTCTCACTTAGGGAAACAAGATTGGAATATAAAATGCTGCAGAACTGATAAGAGAGATTAAAACACACTACTTTTCTTTTTAAGAGATGGGTTGTATCTTGTCCAAAGCATTGGGTCACAAAATGATTAGTACAATAAAAAGCTGCACAAAGACACTTTTCAAATGAATCTCAATGCTTGATAAATGACTCTGGTGAATTCAGAATAAATGATTGTGATTTTTACTTAATAAGATAAGGAGAGTGTCCACTTTAGTATCTAAAAGTGGCTAGGGGAATACAAATACTTGGCCGGAGGAGATAACATATTTCATTCTTTATCTATTAAAAGAAAGGTGTTAGGCCCCTTTCTGACAATGAAATGCTTTCTGTAAGGTTGAGCTTTGTTGCTATGTATTTGAACCAGTTTGAGATGTGCTGGATTTCTTCGGTCATAGCTGTGAGGGCGCAGACAAGAATCTGAGGGCTGATAATTCAGAAATTTCAGAACAATGTTCAGTTTATCACCTGCTCTTGGCCAACAGGTCCCAGGGCGGTTTAGAACCATTTAAAATTCAATATTGAAAACTGTTAAAACAAGTTAGTCCTTAGAATAGAGTGCATTCTGAAAACAAACACCTCAAAGGCCAGAGTATATAGGTGTGTCTTCAGTATATACATTGGAAACACTATAATGTATATTTTGTCTCCCTTCCCTGTTTTCCTTTTGTGCTATATCTGTTTAAACGGTAGATTTGAGGGCAGGGGTGGTTTAACTTGTTTTGATCCGTAAACTGCTCTGGGAGCCTTTTTGGGGTGGAGATAGGGGCAAAGAACAGAGTAAAAATGATTTGGATTGATGGATGCTTAACTTACTGGAAATCCAATGGGAAACAAAGTCAGAGGCATCCTCCAGAAAGCTGGACATGCTTTCTGACTGTCCATTATAAACATTTAGTAGAAAACTGTCCCAAAGAAATGCTTGCTGTATACTACCACTCCATGTCTTACCAATATGCATGCTCTGATCCACTTTTGAACAGTTCAGTGAAACTGCTGATAAATATAAAGAGGCACTTGAATAGGCATAAATTAATATATTGGGCTTCCATGGGTAAAGGTATTTGAAAAGGGCCAGTGACTATGTATCTACTCCTGCTTTTTCTGTGCACAAATAGTCACAACCATTGGATTGTTGAGGGGGTGGAGGGGCGGTCCCTGGTGTCCCCCGCCCCTTGCTTCTGTCAGTTTCTAGGGGCTTGTTAATGGTGAATGAAATTTCACAAAGTGTTTCATATATGAGCCCAGCCATACAAGCAAGAGCCCTGCAAAAAGATTTGAGCCCTGAAAGTGCTGGTTCACAGCTTAAGCTACAAATTTAACTACACTTTGTTTTTGTTTTTTTCAAAAAAAATATTGATTTTCCAAAATTTTAAACAAACAAACAAACAAACATCATAACTGAACTTAATCCAATCTTATTAACATTGTTAGGTGACTTCCTCAAATCCCCCTAGCTGAATTTCAGGGTATATCATTTTCCAAAACCAATTTTTCTCGTAATATTAACTTATTCACTTAACATCTTTATTTCTTTTCATTTTAACTTTAAACTTATTATTCTCTAACATTACATATTTAAATCCTAGGCCTATCTGGTATTTGCAAGTTTTTCCAATTAAGTTACCTTAGCATATTTAACTAAATAGTCTTTAAATTTCATCGATTCTTCCTGGTACTCCTCCTCCTTCTGGTCGCGGACTCTTCCAGTCAGGTCGGCTAGCTCCGAAAAATCCATCATCTTCATCTGCCATTCTTCCACTGTTGGGACTTCTTGTGATTTCCAATTCTAGGCTAACAAAATTCTAGCTGCTGTTGTGGAATACAAAAACAGTCTAACATCTTTCTTGGTCGATTCCAAACCTGTTATTTCAAGAAGAAAGGCTTCTGGTTTCTTAATAAATGTATATTTCAACATTTTTTCAATTCATTATAAATCTTCTCCCAGAAGTCTTTCACCTTGGGGCAAGTCCACCACATATGATAAAAGGTACCCTCTTTTTCTTTACATTTCCAACATAGATTATCACTGTTATGATAGATCTTTGCTTGTTTTACAGGAGTTAAGTACCATCTATACATCATTTTGGAGAAAGACTCTTTGAGCTGAGTGGAAGTTAACATCTGATTAAACATGGTTAGGATTCCATTAATGACGGGAGGAACTGGTTTTGCAGGTCCTCAAGTTGTGGATAAATAGGTTATATTTATTAAATATAACATTTGGTTGTCTTGACTCTTCTTCCTTGTTTCCTGGCAAAGCCCCATTGAGCTCAGTGGGCCCTAACATCTGATTAAACATGGTTAGGATTCCACTAACTATGGGAGGAAATCCTGTTGAACTGAATGGGGCATACTTCTGAGTAAACAAGTATAGGATTGCACTGTTTAGTTGCTCAGCTGCTATACAACACTAGTTCTCAATGCAGCAGTTGATTCATCACTTTCACCATCATCATGAATGGTTGAGCATGTTCTGAATACTAATGGGATACATTGCTTGACCTGGCAAAGCATGGGAATCTTATTTTAGCAAGCTACCCTTTCTGTCACTGAAATTTTCTTAATGCTCATTGTTTTTATGTATTTATTGTCGACTGCATCATTGTTGGGGCTAAGCAGTCAAATGAACTTGGCCAACTTTTTAAACTTTTCCTTGTTGCCCTTCAACATTTCTTTTTCAGTGTGTGCGCATCTAACCAATGCTATCCCAAAGTAACCATTAAAGCAAATTTTTTGTCATATCATTTGTACTAAGTGTTTCAGGTTGGAGCCATTGTTAAAAAGCCGTCAGAACCCACTTCTGAAAGGCTGCAGGATTTTCTTATGAGCAGCCACAGTTCAAAGAAAAACACCCTTGATTTTGAAAGAAGTGATAAAATAACCATTTTCCCCAGGCCTGTGGACACAGACATAATTCACAAGAGATAAAGCTTTAAATGACTTATGTAAATGGAATGACAAGTGGATTCAACATTATATTGAAATCAGATGGAAGCTAAAGCTGGATGATTTGACCTTGGATGGGGAAGGGTTTTGTTTTTTTAAGTTTTAAGGTATTGCAAATGATTTATTTGTTCTTCAGAGGATGCAGAGTCTATCTGATAACATTTATATGTGCACACAAAGATGTTAGGTCCCAGGAG